CACCCTTCTCTTCTGAAGAGCCACCCTCACTCCACCTTCCCACTTTCCAAGCATCCACACTTCACATCCTGCCATGCCTTCCCCTCAGCTCATTTAGCCACCCTCCAAGGTCCCAGCCAGACCCTGAGAGATGCCCTGGAAATGTGGACCCAGCTCGAAAGTCCTTTAGGACTTGCCATCACAGGTCACATCTCAGATTCATTCTTCCAGGAAGAGTCTGTTCATTTGGGAAGGGAGGGGTTGTATTTATTTATTCATGTATTTATTCCTTTACCCAACATTTATTCAAGCCTTCTACATCCAGTGCTTACTAAGTAGTGTGTGGGGCACAGATACTGAAGGCAATGTCCACCCTGGACCCCACAGCAGAACAGCAAGGGCTGGAAGAGCCCCGTGATAGAGCACTCTGGAAACTGAGAGGACAGAGCAGGGGCTCTCTGAGGATCACCTCTCTTTGTTTACCGTATGCAACGAAAACATACAGAACATTCTGTGCCAGGCATTGTGCTAAGCACGTCACAAAAGCCGAGGTATTTAAGTCTTACCAAGACTTTATGAGACAGGTGTATTATTACCACATTTTATAGAAGCAGGACATGGAGAGGTTAAGGAAACTGCCCAGGGTCACACAGCTGCTAGGTGGCAGGGTGGTGTTTGTACCCCGGAGGTCTGGCTCTAGGAGCCACCATCAATGCTGCTGCTACCAATGACAGGTCTCTTTGGCCGAGCAAGGGTGGCCAAGCTCATTCCAGCTGCAGCCACTCAGGGGGTAGGCAACCGTCCAGCTCAGTCAGCCAGTCACAGGCACGTCTCAGCACCTGCAAGTGCACTGGGGGGCTTGGGCCCACCCTGCTCAGCCAGCCGACCCTGAGGTCAAAGGTCCGTCGAGAGGAGGAACTCCAAGGAGAGCTGTGGACTCCCAGGCTGGACAGCTCCGTCAGTGTTCAGAAGTCTTCATGGGAGAATTCCAAGGGCCACGTGGGTCCTTGCAGGGGAGGAACGGGAGGTGCCTCCCTTCCCCAGAAAACAAGGTGTGACGCATGCCTGTGGGTGAACAGTTTGTTCCTGAAGGGAAAAACAAGCCTATGAAGCCAGTCTAGGCAGAGGGCGCTCTCCTGCCAGCACAGGGACACGTGTTCCGAGAAGGACACACTTCTGGAGGAGCCAGTGCGCTTCCCACCTGGCCAGGAGCATACTGCTGCCACATCACAAACTCCAGGCCATAGGGAACATTCTGGGCTGGCCCCACATGGCCCATGTCACTCTCAGATTTGAGCCGAGCAGCGACATGTGGTGCACATGGCAGGGCCAAGCCTTGTAGGTCATGGGCTCTCTCATGACAGCTGACTCTGCTCCTGGGATGAAGGACAGACCAAATTCTAGAAGCAGGAGCAGATCATATTCCAAACCATCTCGGGCTCAGAAAGAAGCATTTCTGGAGCAGGGCCTCCCCACCTGAGTGGCAGCTCCACAAGGGCCCCGATTGCTGTCCCCAGTGTCTACGATGCCATACCACTAAGCCCCCATGGTTTTTCTGCAAAGGACTAGTTAAAAGTTTAAGGTTTGCAGGCCATATGGCCTCTGGTTCAAGGACTCTACTCTGCCATTACAGAGCCAGAGATGTTGGCACTTCATGAGCCAGTCAGGACTTCTCCCAATAAAACTGTGTGCATGGGGGCCAGCACGTGGCATAGTGGTTGTGGTGTTGGACCCCCACATGACCAACAGCAGTTCGAGTCCTGGACCCAGCAGCTTGAAACTCACACAGGGAGCATGTGTGTGCACACCCAAAATCCCAAGAGGAGAATGTAGGAGAAAGGATTGTGGTGTGGCCACCCCACCTCCCCGAGCCATTCCCCCGGTGGGTGATTTCTCACTTTCTGTCTCTGGCAAGTGCACATGCCTTACAGTAAAAATCTCTCTTAGAAACAAAACAAAACAAAACAAAAACACTGTATGCATGCATCTTGAAATTTGAATTTTGTATTATTTTCAAATTTCAAGAACTATTATTCTTTTTCTTTAACTTTTTTTTTTAGCCAAAGGGCACATGCTCACCAGAGAGACAGTTGGGAGATGGTCGTACCACACTCCCTTTTCCTCTATTTCCCCCTCCCTTTGGGATTTTAGCTTACAGATTATCCAAAAACAAGCACAGGGCTGGATTTGGTGTATAGGCTGTGATTTTCTGACTCCTGATATGGTCGCCATATCCTTAGGATCAAACCCAAAACAA